AAATGATCCCTAACTTTACTTCTCTTCTGGAGCTATAATAATATTACTTTCAGACTATTGCATTCTGTAATATATACTTCATTTGTTGGTTATTCGAATTACTCTTTCAGTACTGAACAACTTACTGTCCATTATTTTGCATTTCTAAAGGCATATAATGCTCTTGCTGTCTTCAGTCACAGAAAAATACTGTCGTCTCCATGTGGGATGCAGTTTTTGGTTATTTTGAAGCCCCACCCTAGCTTTTAGCAGGGCCCTAAATATAGCCGGGCCTCAATGGTGGCATTTTGTGTCACTGAGTGTTTAGCGCTTGTTTGATGACCTGGAGGGGTAAAACTTACCTACCTACCTACCTGTAGTCACAGACAGATGTTATATCAACATCTTGTGTCTGACATTTTAGTTTACTACTTCTGTTTCAGAGTTTTTGTGTCAAACTCATTCAAACCTTAGTATTTATTTCTTTTAAACTGAACACTTCAATAAGGTGTTCAAGTAAATAAATGAATGAGTGAGTGAGTGAATGAATGAATGAATAAATGAATGAATGAATGAATGAATGAATGAATGAATAGCACTGTACTTCTTCCATTCGAACATGTGCTCCGTCTCAGTATGTCAGAATTGTGAAGCAGCATTCATAACACTGACTAAGCCTTTTTAATAATATATTAATCAGTGCATATGACTTTATTTTGTTTCTTCCAGTTGATGCTAGTGGAACCCAGGCTGTCTATGGTTTGTTAGACTTTCTTAAATTGGACCTGAAAGGCAAGGTCATTGTTTCTGTTTCTTTGCCGACTTACAACTCAACCACTGTCTGTGTCAGAACGTTCAAGACTTCACATCGATTACAGGTAACTGACATATTGTGTTTATATAAATCATTTCTTCTTGTTGTTGTTTTTATAATCAGAGCTTAACAGATTATTGACATCACAGGTATATGCTTGGATAAGTATACTCTAATAAACATCATCAGGTTTCAAGCTGTCGCCATAAGGGGGGAAACTACTGGAATATATGAAGCACTATTTTATTTATAAGGTATTTAACCCAAATCATACTTGAGCTGAATTAAGATATAAGACCACAAAACTCAGGACATTCCCATAAGAGCTCTATCCCAACTTCAGCAGCAAGAGCAACATTTAAATTCTGATAGTAGTAACAATCTGATTGTCTTGTTAGTTTTGCTATTTCGTTGAGTGTCAGCCAAATCACCTGGTCAGTCACTCCCTCCCCATTTCATCATAATGATTTTTTTGGTGCCTCCACACTGTTCACTCACTCCCATAGAGCCTTGACTGACTGACTGACTTTCTACCCCACCAGGACATCACACAAATCAATAAACACCCGATAACACAATGTGCCACCATGTGGATGAGGATCACCATGGAGCTGTCCCAGAAACCGGGTTCAGCCATTAGGTCATATTTATGGCCAGGCTATATTGCAGACCCTGGCAGAGTAGGGCTTCAAATAATGAAAAATTGCATCCTGAAAAGGACGGCAAGATTTGAAGATAACATCTACCCAAAGGGCCTTGATAATCTCTAGCTTGTCATGCATCAGGTTGCCAACCAAATCATGCAGAACCTTGCTGGCATGTTGGTTTCCCACCAGACCTGAATACCCCGGGGAAAATATGGAAGTATGCTAATTACTCAGAATTTCTGAAACAGCTGCCCAGGATTTCTGAAGCAATGTTTGACAAACCCTGTAAAACCCTTCAAACCTAAATTGTAATATCATTATAATGTCATGTCAGATTGATACAATAAGTATAGGACCTTTTTTGCATGTCTTGAAGTTTATCGAGCGTTTATTGTATATGACTTTACGTGGGGCTTTAGGTTACTTTGTAACCATCAGGGGCCATAATATAACCTCACAGCTGAACAGGGTTTCTGGGACTTGACCTAGGAGATTCTCCTCAGAGTTATGAGGCATTGCATTTTGCGTCACATGGTGTTAATCACTCAGTGTGTGGTCCTAATGGTGTTCAGTCTCCCTGACTAAATCATATCAAGCTTATGATGCTGGCCTCATATTTTTATCAACCAGTCAGCATTAAGTGAAGGTTATGGTAAAAATCACTTTGGATGTTGCTTGCCAAAATATCTGGCAACATTTTATGTAGGCTGGACAACATGGCAGCCCAGATCGGTTAGGAAAAAAAAAAGGTGCCTTGAGAAGATTTTAAACACAGGACCACCTCACTAGCAAGTGAGAATGCTAATCACGGTACTGCTGCAGCTGTTAACGATAGCAATGGGATGACAAGGTCCCGAACCAAACGTGGTGATGATGCACACCAGGACCACGACAAGAACTGCCTACCCCTATCCCTCGTCATCCAAGAAATGTGTTTTCATTCAGGAGCTTGGGTGTTCCCGCTTATGCTCTATCCCCTTCCTCAGTATCCAAAAATAAAAGAGTTCCAATAATGACAGTGCCAGTTGCAAGCTGATTAAAAGTGTCTTTTCTTGTTACATGTTGAAAACCATCCAGAATCTCTTCTCACTTTCCACTAAATCTGTTTTTAGAGAAATCAAGGTTCTGTCAGTGAGGATATAATTACATCATTGTCATCATCAGTGATGTTGTTGCATTTATACATCTCATTTTTGTGCTGATTCCTCCATTCTGGTCTTATCCTGTGCAGGTCATTTCAGAACTCTAATCCTGAATCCAGCTTAGTACCTTTGGCCTCCCTTGTCAACATTCAGTGTAAGATTTTTCTTGGACATCATTTCCTCAGTCCATTTGTTTTCCTTTACAGTGCCTATTTTGCTATTCTTTCATAATTTGAAAAGTAAATTATCTATATTGCAACAATTTTTATTTGTCTAGGCTTGCAAAGCATATGTGAATGCTGGGTTTAATTTTGATTTGGATGCTGCCAATAACTTCCTAGTGAAAGGTCGGCCCAGTATTGTCATACAAGGAATCAGTTCGGCATTGGTGAGTTCAGTCTTCTTATTTTTCATTTTCTCCTCCTCCTCCTCCTCTTGTTTTCCTGATATACTTTTTATTTGGACATAAAGGTTTGGTCTCTTTACAGAAAAGGACCAATCAGCACTACTCGTTAACACAAAGGTTCAAAGGTTAAAGTTGAGAGCATTGACTTCATTGGTGACAATCCATGGGGATCTCCACAAAAATTGCACTCCTGGACTAAACAATGCAGCCTTGAAATGAACCCGCGACCTTCAGAGCACGAGGCAAACGGCTTAACCACTTCACCATGCAGACCCCCCAACTTTCAGTTGACACATTCAGCCTCTTTATTTATTGGTTAGTTTACCCTTCCTGGGTTCAGTTACAGACCTGTCTTAATAAAGCAGGAGACAATCTGGTCTTCTTCTTCTTCTTCTTCTTTTCCACCTTGTACCTCATCGAAGTGTTTGGGGGGAGATGTAATGTTCATTGATGAGCTCTGTCAAGAGCACTATTAAGACTGATGTTCATTTCTGTAAGGCTGTTCTTAATGCCATCACTCCATATTTTCCGAGGTCTTCCACTCGCTCTATACCCGTTGTAACGTTTTAGTGTGACTCGCTGTGGCGGATAGTACCAGGGCATTCTTGTTAGGTGTCCTAACCACTTAATTTGTTGTTCTTTGATGACCTCTAAGACAGGCCAATCAGCTAAAAGTGTGTATGATAATGAAGAGACCCAGAACATACAGAAAACACTCGGTGCCAGGTCACACACTTGACATTCCAGGTTTTCAATCTTTCACACTTCACCCTCTTCCAAAGTCAGAGTGCATATGTCTGTAAGATGTGGTACCAGCATACTACACAAATAAGCTACATCTGTAAAACAGACACTTGACCATTGATCTTCAGTATTCTGGCCCCTCTTGAACTTGAGGATTTAATAATAGATATTACAGCACTTGGGACATTCCTATAAGCACTTCATCCCATCTTCAGCAGTAAGCATACAGTTCCAATTTTAATAGCATGAGTAACAGACTGATTGTATAATCTGTCTTGCCCTTACCTTGAGTCTTGAGCTTCCTCCAATTTAGCAGACTGAAACCATTCGTGGGGGGGGGGGGGGGGGGGGGGGGACTTTTCAGGGGGGGGGGGGGGGGGGGGGGGGGGGACTTTTCAAGTGTAAATAAAAAAAGTAAAGGTTCCTTTTCCACACCTTTAGCAGAAGAAATTCAAGTGGTTGCTGTCTGGAAAAGAGGTAGTCCCATGGCAGTTAATGTGAAGGGCTAGTTCTTTGCATTTTCTAACCTTCGAAATATTACAGTAGAGTGACCAGTTAATTTTCTTGTCACTTTCTCTTTCTGAAAATTATTAAAACTATCATAAACAATTTTATAATTTAAGGTCAACCTCACATTTTTAATTTAATCGTTTCATTCTGGAAACGCTAAAAAATGTAGGTGATGACTCTATTATAATTCCAGAAGAAAATCCATAAAAACAACAATTTATACGCAGCCCACTAATAAATTCTTTAAAAATGTGTTTATCTAAATTTTAACATTATTTTTTTAAAGTATATAAATAAAGATCTTCCCTATGGCTACATATGGATGTGAGTCGTGGACTATCTTTCAGTCCTTGAGAAAGAGAATAGGGGCTTTTGAGCTTAAATGTTATAGAAAGATTCTCAGAATATCTTGGACAAAGAAGATAAGAAATATTGACATCTTAAAAGATCTGAACATCAAGGAAGATTGGCTAATAAATAGCATCCTTTCTCGAAAGCTGAAATAGTTTGGTCCTATCAAGCGCCACGACGGATTGGAAAAAATTATAGCAGAAGGCATGGTACCAGGAAGGAGGGGCAGGGGCCGACCGACACGAAGATGGGCACAGGATATAGGTGACTCCTTGAATGTGAAAATGCATGAGGCGGGAGAACTGGCGAGAGACCGAGTTTCTTTCAGGCAGACTGTGATGAGAGCGACGTTCTGCAAAGGACCTGCTACATGATGATGACGATGATGATATAAATAAAGACACATGAAAAGAGAGATCAATAAACGTGCACGGGGGGAAAGCATTGAATGCAATACATATCCCGGGTCCTAATAAACCCATATTTTTCTGGTGACAGATGACCTGACCTCTATCTCTGAGGCTTACGATGAAATTTTATGTCAGCTTGGCTTTAGAAAGAGCCATTTGACACAGAGGACCCTCTTTTTCCCTCCCTCCCACCACCAACAGTGCTGTTGTTAGTTGCTGAATTCCTGACCTAGAAGTTTGCCCAAGCATTAACTCTGCGTCTCATAAACAGGACTCTATAGTACAGTAAGTAAAGTGACATTTACAGCTAAATTTGACCCAGTCAGATGTGTCCTTTTTTTCCGGCTTTTCGAGGCACAAGGTTTAAAAATGCAGACTCTACTGGAAGTTGAACCCAGATCATTTACTTTTACCTCCTTAAAATTTGGTTATCAACTGTCATAACTGTATCAGTTTTACCATATTTTATTGAAATCAGACATAATACAGTAATTAACAACTTCTTCGTTATCCAGACATTATTTGCCTTTTGACTAATGTGTGATGTATGGAGAATGTGATGCATAGAGAGTAACGTATCTGGAGAAAATGTAATGTCTATGATATCTAGAGACTCTGATATTTAGAGAATGTAGGATGTCTAGAATGTTTGAGGTCTGGAGAAAATGTGAGGTCTACAGAGTGTAATGTCTGAAGGATGTGTTATGTCTGGAGAGTGTGATGTGTAAAATGTGTGATTTATGGAAAGTGTCATGAATAACTAGTGTGATGTCTGGAGAGTGTGATGTATAAAGAGTGTGATTTCTGGAAATGTCATAAATAATGAGTGTGATGTCTCGAGAGTGTGATGTATAAAGAGTGATTTCTGGAAATGTTATAAATAATGAGTGTGATGTCTGGAGAGTGTGATATCTGAAAAGTTTCATGAATAATGAGTGTGATTTCTGGAAAGTGTCATGAATAATCAGTTGCATGTCTGGAGAGTGTGATGTATAAAGAGTGTGATTTCTGGAAATGTTATAAATAATGAGTGTAATGTCTGGATATGTGATATATTAAGAGTGTGATTTCTGGAAAGTGTCATGAATAATGAATGTGATGTCTGGAGAGTGTGATGAGGAAAGAGTATGATTTCTGGAGAGTTATGAATAAGAGTGTGTTGTCTGGAGAGTGTGTTGTCCAAAAATTGTGATGTCTGGAGAGTGTGATAAATAAAGATTGTGATTTCTGGAGAGTGTCGCGAATAAGGAGTGTGATACCTGGAGAATGTGATGTCTGGAGAAAGTTTTGTGTCTGTAGAGTGGGATGTATAAAGAGTATGATTTCTGGAGAGTGTCTTGAATAAGGAGTGTGATGATTGGAGAGAATGATGTCCAAGGATTGTGATATTTGGAGAATGCGATGTCCAAAGTGTGCCATGTACAAAGAGATTGTGATGTCTGGAGACTGTAATGTGTGGAAGATGTGATTTGTAAAGAATCTGATGAGTACTCACTTTCCTGAGGTAAGCATACATCGTGTAAATAAAATATAATATTTTATAAGGGAGCCGCATTAGCGCAGGCGATGGGAGGCTCGCTTTCAAATCCAGCTGCTATTCACTGCAGTCACGGTCGGTGTTCAAAACCGGGTGGTTCCCGGGGTTCACCCAGCCTCTAGAAAATGGGCACCAGAATGACACTCTGGGGTAAATGGAGGAACATCGCTGTAGCTACAGAGTTACGTGCGGACAGCGACACATGCAGACTATTTCTAATCAGCTGTCCGTACTGTTGGCAGAGCACTTATGGTTTATAACCGTGTGCAAAGACGCTGGTTCACATTTCCCGACTTACTTTTTATAAATATAAATAAAAATGAATGCAGAAGAATTTAGCATTTAAATTGTTCAGTGTGTAATCTTATTCAGACTGGTGAATGTTTTGTTAATTTTTTTTTTTACAGATCCATGCCACACAGACAGAGGCATATCTGGAAAATAAAGCCTTGGGTAGTCCAGCAGTACTTCAGGGTAATTCACAATGTGTCAAGTCTTTGAAAAAGGCTTAATACAGTGAACATGCAACTCGAAAATCGATTTGAGTTTCTGGGGATATGGATGTATCAAACAATGGGTTACATTTGATGGAGAAAAAAACATAATCAAAAAAATAAGTCCTTTAGAGACTGGTAATGAAAAGAGAGTTTCTGAAAGAAATAAAAAACAAAACAATTGAAATATTTCGGCTACATTAAAAGACATGGCAGTCTTTTAAAAAGTATCCTGGAGGGAAAGGTTGGAAACAAGGTCATGATGTAGTCGTTTCCTCTTTTTTTTTTATTTAATAATGTGACCAGAGAATGTAGGCTGTCACTTGATATGTGTAATCAGTTCTGCTCATGAGTTAATTTCTATTAAGACATCTTCATTACTCTTCTCATCTGTGGTATTCTCATAATTTTTCAGGAAATCCTTATCTCTGCCACTTCTTCATAATTTTTTAGTTATCTGTTAACTATCCCTTATTCACTTCCATATATCAGGATTCAAGTTATATAGCTCTTGAGAGCTCAAGTGTTTTAATATCACCAAAATAATAGAATTAACTATGTTTTTTTTTTTTTACTTTAATCGGTTCCTCTTTCATTTCCATTCTATGTTTTTTTTTTTTTTTTTTTTTTTTTTTTTACGAAACGCAACCAATTCTCATCTGTGTGCATGGGACAGCAGATAGAAACAGTGTGTGGTGTATGAAATACTCAAGAAACATATAGTGCCTCATCTGGTATTGAAAGAACTTATCATTTTGTTGTATAATCAGTTTAGGGACAATATGTGATTTGTTGAGTTTTTAAGGAAAGTAAATGACCTTTTTTTACACCAGTTTTACACAGGGTATATCTTCTTCTTCATATTAGGCAGCTGTAAACTGTGGCAGAAACTGAGTTTTTTGTCCACCTCTGGACTTTAGTCTTGTTCCAGAACATGGCTGTTGCATGCACATCTGTTTTACAGATCTGACTTGTATTCAGATTGTTGGTTCCTTGCCACTCAGGCAGACGCACTTCGACTTTGATGGAAGTCCCCAGTTAGTAAATTCCTATGACAGGTTTGTTGGGGGGGGGGGGGGGGGGGGGGGGGGGGGGGGGGCAGTGGGTCTGTTCTTGTTTTCCCCACAATGGGGCCCAGGAGCCCACACAGGGACATAGAGCAAATGATACTAGACCAATTTGTGTAGATCCGTTAGTGCCCAGTGGGGGATATGGTCAGTACCAAGCCACTTTCTTATACCATTCAGGTTAGTCAGCCCAAGGTCAGTATTTTTTAAATTTTTTTAAAATAAAATCAGGTTCCTTAAGCATTTGATTTCAAGGTGATTTATCCAGAAGCCTAGAAGTATATGGTACATTGTACAAGAAAAAAAAATATTTAATTAGTTTGTATTATCATTTTCTTTCAGGTGCAATTACAGTATTGTCCTCTGAACTGATTCCTGAAACATACCCTGACTGGGCAGATCCAACTTACAGAAAATCTCTGGCTATTTCACTTTTCTACAAGGTGAGTCATTGGATGCAGTCAAGTTTATACTTATATTTTGCCCTTTTGATATTCTCTCTTTCTTTGTTACCTAATATTTATAGCTTCTTCTTTACCTTTCTTCTGTGTTTCTATTAAAAACAAACAGGAAAAAAAAAAGCAGTTGGCATACTGTGTTGTGGTTTACAGAGAGGCTGTAATGTCTTCACTTTTTGGCCAGTCACATCTGATTTCAGCATTTTAATTAGTCACTTATTATGACAGGCTTTTTAAGTAGCTGTGGGTCTGTCCCCCCCCCCCCCCCCCCCCCCCCCCCCCTTTTTCCCCGGGCTCTCAGAATGGTTCCTGGAATCTCCAATGTGCAAGCTTGTATCTTATTTTTGTAATTTAGAAGGATTCATAAGCAAAGGACCTAGTAAAAGGAAATAAATTATCAAAGCAGAACATTAAGTCTTAGAGTAAAACCTCATTAGCACAAATTCCAAGCAACCAAAAATTCAGTTTGTGTTAAGAAAAATGTTTTTGGTAACTGAGGACTTATAATAATACGCCCTGCTTAGACTAAAAGTATTTTCTCTTAATCAAATGTTTTTCACAAGTGAGTTCATATTAAAAAGATTTTCCTGTATTAAACTGCGTAGTATATCACATTTTCTATGTTCACTTGAGTTTGACAAAACCACTTTAATAATTTCAGAATTTAGTCTGTAATAAATTCTTTCTAAAGAAACTAAGAAGTATATTTACTAGACACTAGACCCAAATACTAAAGCTATGTGGGATTAAAAATTATTTCCAGTTCTCAGACCAGACAAAGAAAATAGTCATGGCCTAAGATTATATAATATTACCAGTCAGTCCAACTGAGGAAACAGGAGATGCAGAAATATTACATAATTGGGCAGGCTTAGCATTTATGAACCTGCGAACTCAGGGAAGTAACCTTGGCAAGGAGGTAACTCCAGACATTAGGGCTCTAGTGGGAAACACTTGGCTGGTTTTCACACCTTTTATTGACATTGGGTAAAACTAGATGTGCACAACTTATTTATGTTTGATAGGGAGGAGGCAGTCATTAGTTGATTGACAGCCACAGAGAAAGATAGTTGTAGTTTGAAGATACCTCAGGGGTAGGGCTTAGAGCCTCTCCTGAAGGAAGGAGTTTGATACAGAAAAGGGGAGGAGCCAAACTCCACTAATTGAGATAAAGGGAAAGATTAAAACAGTGAGGAGTCTTGAATTCAATGCAGCCTGCTGCCAGCCTGCCACCAACACTATAAAGTTACCCTAGCTGTGTGAGTCTTTTGGCAAATTGCTGGAATTTGTCCAGTTCTGGTCAGGGGCAAGGACCAATCAGCACTACTGGTAAGCAGATGGTCTAGTGCCTACATTGTGTAGAGCACTCAACCGGCTAGAAAAAGATAGGCAGTGCCTCAAATCAGGGGCTAGAGCCTCAAATCAGGGGCTAGAGCCTCAAATCAGGGGCTATCAGAGGTTTTATTTTCTTTCCTAAACCAAAAGTTATGTTTCATGCATCATTTTTGGTCGTAAAACTTTTCATCATCATAAGAACATCACTCAAATGCTGGTACATGATAAGGCAGATATGGTTAGTGCCTTGTGGGAGAGCGTGTACAGTTCAGAGGAGCAGATGGATCACCACAGTCTGGTGAGATTGATGCAGCGGGGAGTGACGAGGGGTTCTGGCAGATGCTCGAGGCTCAGAGAAAAGACAAGACGGACGTTTAATCAGAATGCTACTGGCACCATTAGTATCAGAACTCTTCGCTGGCTGCTGAAGATGGGGACAGAGCGCTTATGGGAATGCACCGAGTGCTGTGATGTCGGTTCTTAAATCAAATCAAAATCAATCAAATGCTGATTGTTTTAGCTAATAACAAATGTCATTGACAGTGTTGATGGTATAATAAATCAATAAATCAAGTTTTATACTGCATTATTTGTCTAATTTTAAGTGTATTTGTTCTTACATGTTTAACTAAACTGTTATATAAAATTACATTTGGTGGGGGCTGTTTAACAATTCTTTACCAGGAGGATGTTGTTGGGAGGGGTCACCTGCCCTGTCTAACAATTCATTAATTAAAGTTATCTAGACATCTAAAACTCTTTTCTTTCCCTTGTGAGTACCAAGCGTAAGTAAAGTAAAGATCCCTTTTCACGCCTTTCGGCGCATCGGGCATATGGGCAGAGCGTCCCATATTTTTACAGACCATCAGCACTCGGTGGGTAATGTGGTCAGCATTACGCCGGCTGTCTTTACTTTCCCAGGACAGCCCATCCTGGTACCCATTTTAGGCTGGGTCGACCTGCGACGTCCCATACCACGACAAAAATCCACGCAGCCTGCAGTGGGTTTCGATCGCGGTATGCTGGCTCACGAGTCGGACTCGCAACGCCTTAGCCACGGACGCCGCTAGTACCAAGCGTAGCTGCTGTTAATTTGTATTATGATCCAAATATGAGTGTGTTCTTCCATATCCAGATTTTTTTATGGTATTAACTCAACTCAGACACTAGTCCAGCTTCTGCTGTAGAGGGGAAGTGTTGAGAGTCAGACTTTCACTCATCACACAAGCATCTATCCACAGGGCACTCGCGACATTGAGGAATGTTTATTCATTGTTTATATGTGTATCATCATGGTCCTCTAACAGTAGGTGTCATTAGGTTTTATACTATTTTTATAATTTGAAAAAAAAAGTTGAAAATAGTTAGCTATCACATGATTTACTTATTTAGTGAGTCCTTTTCTATTCTGGTGCCATAGAGATCGATAGTCTTCTCTGTCAGCAGCTTTCTTTTTGCCTTGTTTCATTCCAGTACTGTGTCAGTCAGAGACTGTCTTCCCAGTGAACCCTGTGTCATCTTAATGTGGCCCCCTGGTTCTTGGCCTCTCATTGCTGCCATTGTGACCAATTTTCTCTCATTCTACCTACATGTCCAAACCATTGTAACCGTGACTCATTCACTTGTTTGTCTGGCAGTACATTACATGATGTCGAATTGTCAACAATATATTTAATGGCATGTATGTCTCCTAAATCGAAAAGGTTGCTGAAGCCTGAGGACGTAGTCTAAAGCCATGTGGATGTGGAAAGCAATGGGAAACTACCACATTACTATTCCAAGAAACTCAGTTGAAAAAAATTATAACAGAAGGCATGGTACCAGGAAGGAGGGGCACGGGCCGACAAACATGAAGATGGGCACAGGATATACTCCTTGAGTATGAAAGTGCATGAGGCGGGAGAGCTGACAAGAGACCGAGTTTTTTTCAGGCAGACCATGATGAGAGCAACGTTCTCCAAATGACCTGCTACATGATGATGATGATGTTTCCTTAGATTGATTCACTGGTTTTAGGGCTTAACTGTACAGTCTTTTCAGGGCCATTAGCAAATCATTATCATCATTGTCCTGTTGCACCATTATATATCACATTGGGCTCTCAGTGTATTCCTCCTTGTCATTATATCCTGTGCAATCCTTTCAAAATGGAATTCAGTCCATCATCTTTGGCCTCTCTCATCAGTGTTCATTTTATGGTTTCTTTTGGGTGTCCTCGCTTCCTCATTCCTTTTATTTCTCATTTAAGTGCCTGCTTGCTGATTCTCTGCTTATTTCTTCTCAGGATGTGTCCTGTTTAGCATACGTGCTTGGAATATACAAGTTAATACAAATGTGTGTGAAAAACCTAGCAATTATCAGGTGTGTGTGTTTTTTTTAATCTATTTCAGTTTGTACTGGGTATGTGCCAGTCTAAGGCAGATGTTCGCTACATTAGTGGGGGTCAAGGACTAGTGAGACAACCCATTGTTGGAATCCAGGACTTTGATACTGATGAGTCCATGTGGCCAGTGACAAAACCAATCGAAAAAATTACAGCACCTTACCTGGTAAGTCCATTCATGCCAGGGACACATCTGGTGTAAAGTGTTAGACCTTTATTTTTATAGAGCTCGGTCGTCCTAAGTTTTGAGAAAAATCTGCCTCAAAGTGGACATGAACCCTTAGCTATTTTTAACAAAAGGTTTCCCAATTGAAGACCTAGCTGTTTAATTACAATGATGACTTTATTAAACAAGCTTGATCCATCTTTTCTGTACAGGATTTGTTAAAACATTTTTTTGAAAAGTATCTTGTTCTTTCCACAATAACTATCTTTTGTGACATCTTAGTCCTTATGTTAATTATTTTTGGGGCTTTCAGACCGTGGTATGGGAATCGTACCATAAAAGAGATTTTAACCTCGCCATTTAATATTCGCAGAGAGAGCAAGGGATGCACAACCTCCATTGTGAAGATGACACAAAAGAAGAAGTGTCATTTTTTTTTTCACATGTGTGTAATTTATCAGGTTCTTCCTCTACAGTGATTTTCTCCTATTTTTTTTCGTTCTGTTCTTTGCATGCATATGACATTTATCCATAATTGATTCTCCTCCATTGCTGATTTGTAAAATAAAGTGTGTTGGGGGGAAGGGGGTCATTTCTTAGTAATGAATTAAGAGAATGCTTACTACTGTAAGAAACAGCAATGGAAAACACGTTTAACTATAGTGATAAAACATATATTAAACAGGCATCTGAGTTTAAATATCTTGGAATGGTATATTGATGGACGAAGAAAATAACATCCCATCCAGTAAAGCAGGCTAAGTATTGGGACAGCTAGTCTCCCTCTTACAGCATAAGGCAACCCCAATCAGCAGAAAGAAGCATCTTGTGCAAAGCATATTCATTCCCACCCAATGCTATCATGCTAGACCTGGTCACTAACAACAGAACAGAAAACTAGTAACCATGGAAATGAGGTGTCTTAGAAAGACTGTAGGAGTGACCAGAAGAGTTAAAATCAGGAATGAGGATATATGTGATAAAGTCGGCACAGAACCAATTCTAAATTAAATACAAAGACAGCAAATCCAGTGATTTACCCATTTGCAGAGAATGCCTTCTGATGCTATACCACATACAGCATATACCAAAAGAGGAGAAGGACATAGAGCAAGAGGTAGACCAAGAACAATATGGAGAGATAACATTAGAGAAACTCTACAGCATCACAATGTGTCTATGGTCAAAGCAGCCAGAAGAGCACAAAGCAGGACCATATATCGGCCCCGACACCTGAAACGGTAAAAGGAGGATTAAAAAGGAATAAGAGGATAAAACAAGAGAATGTTAACTATTTTGAGAAGCAAACATGGAAAACATCCTTTCACAGTAACAAGATACAAGAATATTTATTATTTTGAGAAATAAAAATGGAAAATAGATCTAACAATAAGACTGAAATGAGAATATTTACTATTTTGCCTAACCAAAAGGGGAAAACATGTGTTCACGGTAATAACATGAGAGAATACTTATTATTTTGAGAAATAGAAAGGCAAAATAGACCTCACTGTAGGGATGAAACAAGAGAATATTTAGTATTTAGAAGGCAAAAAGGAAAATCATATCAGTAAAAACACATACTACTGTAAAACCTGGTTAACTGGATTTCAAAGGTCTGTTTCATTCTGTGTGTACAGTTTATTTGTGTGTGTGTGTGCTCGTTTGTTTTTGGGTTGTTTTTTTAGTAAAATTAATTAAAAATAACTTCTGGTGAGTTTTTACAAATTAATCTAATCTATAATTATGTATGTTAACAGACATCAGGTGTTGCGAAATTCCTGGATGACCTGTCCCCCTTGCCTGGAGAACTGTCCGCAGCGGTGGTCATCAGCACAGTAGCAAATGCTACCATAGACAAGATTGATGCTTCCATTGCTCTGGTAAATTTCACATGACTGAATACACATTACATTTTTCAACAGAATTTAAAACCTGGCGTCATCCTCATCATCTTTATAAGTGTAGTCATCATTCATCATCATCAGTTGTGGTGCTTGTAAACGGGAACAGATCTGCCACATGTCAGATCTGTCAGAATTTCACAGAGTCTATATTCTTGTACCGCTTATGCTATATTGTCAAAGCTATCAAGGTAATTAACTCTTTTGTTTTCCTTTGCTTCTTTCCCGTCAAGTTTTTTTTTTAATTGTCACTGTTTTTTTTTTTGTTTTTTTTAAACATGTTCAATAAATTTTCACTTTCTTTGTCTAATTTCTATAATCAATTTACGATTTCAGTTGGTTTCTTGAAGGCTGCCACTTTTATTTCTTTGTCTGTTCATCCTATTCTTTGTGTTTTCTTAAGAAATTCCTTGTTTGCCACCATTAGATGTTTCTCAGCTTGACATTTTTATTTTTAGTGTTTCACCTGCACGTACTTGCCGACTGGCATAGGCAATCATACCCATCTTCAGCCTGTGATCTCCAACAATGTGTTTTGGTTCCTATGCTGAGACCTCTCATTGCCATGACAAATGGCTGTCAAGAATCTGCTTGTGTTGTCTTTCTCTATCACTCTTTTCACAGATCTTTCCAGTTGTCACAGCATGTTCCAGTATCTTTTTTTTTTTTCTTAAAGGAGCGGAAATATGATGTCTATCTCCCTGTGTTTGTGATAATATGTTTTCGGGAGCTCCTCTCTTTCAGAACATCTGTATTACTTATTTTGGCTGTCCAAGGCATTTCTTCTGTATAGCAACATTTCTAAGGTCTCAATAAGTTGTTTGACTTTTTATAAATTGTCCAGGATGTTTGACTTTTTTATTAGTCGTCCAGGACTCGCAGCTGTGTGTTAAAACTGACTCTATCTAGCATGGGGAGAATTTTTTTTGTAACCTCCCATGAAAGAGCTTTACTGCTTAAGATGTCCTTATTTTATCAAATATGGTTCTTGCCTTTCATAATATAGGCTTTATATGAAGCATGTTGCTATTATCTTTCTTAGTAAATTTGAAAGAATTAATTTAAAAATGTTTTTCATCTGGCAAAATTTGACTTCTGTCATGACCATTCTTGTTCTGATCTATGTATTGCATCTTTTTTTTAAGATGTTTTGACTGTTTCAGAATAGTCGTACTGGTTCACCTGTGTAAGAATGTTAGTTGTCACAGTCAGTGTCACAGCACATTGGGCATTCTCGTGCATGCTTAATCTCTGATACAGCAATTTCTCCAGGCTACCTCTGCTGATTGTTCACATGAGGAGCTGGTTATGGCTAATATTTCGGCTTTAAAGTCAACAAAGACATGCTTCCCCAAGCTTTACTCTCACTTCACACAACTGTGTTAGAATCAGTGATGCATGATTATCCACTAACCTAGTTCACACAATGTTGATGATATCTGTTCTGTTGATGCTTCCTCCCGTAGGAGCATTGCTTGAACACTTAGTCCCCTTATCATTACCTTTGATGATGGCATGGCAGGTGTACAGATCCAGGTGAGGGAGGCAAAGTGCGACTTATGAATGCTTTCTACTTCTACACACTCAGAGTGCATGCCTGTTCAAGAATGTCTTCATTTACCTGAAGTTTACATTGTGACATAACTTTCTTCCTGAATATGACCATAATTTTGTTTCCCCACATTTTACTTCTAACCCTAGTTGTTCACTGTGACTACAGCATCCTCTAATGGCTAGAGATCCTGTTTATTGTCCATATTTAATACTGTACCATGTGCAGCTCTTTTATTCTTTATATTCTGTCCTTCAAGGGCAGTTCCTTGTGGCTTTTGAATGTCTCATACTTTCACTATATTGGTGTAAAAGATTGTTTGCATTCCTACCACACACAGTTTTTTGCTCATATTGACTAGTTTTGTTATGATTTTGTTTGACAATATGTTCTTTTCAGTATATTTTTCTAACTAAACAGAGTTTATTTGACAGTGTATTGTTTTCATTGCATCATCCTAACAAATTAGTGTGAAGATTTGCCAGAAGTTTTATCATGGCACCAAGTTTTTACCTGCATTGTGAATATTTCAGTCATTTGTAGACAGTTTCATTTACAAATGACAGTTAAATCTCTTTCTTAAATGTTCGTTGTTTTCTAGAAAGAGCATTACAGTCTGATGTGTTTGTAATTGTTGTTGTGTTTGTTATTTGACCTATGCTTTGTAAATTTATATACCAACCTTTGATACCACATAAGTAGTTTGAAACAAATTATGTCTGTGTTCCATAGTTGTGCATTTCAAACTGTACGCTAGACATAGCTAATAAAGACACACTTTTTAGGGGTGTCTAGTTAGTATGTGCTTAGTAAACTTGTTTCCATAGTGAAGTGCATTCATTATTTGGAGGTCACAGGTTAGATTCCTGGCACAGCAACTAAAGCTTTCAATTTGTACATTTATGTCTTCAGTATGTGCCCAACAAGATAAGGGAAATCATCCCGGCAGCAAATTGTAGTGTCTTGTGTCTTCAGTATTCACATTGTTTTAAGTACAATAAGCAATACTTTTTTCTCCTTCTTTACTTCCTCTTTTTCTACTTTATGTTTTGGAAGAGATCTATGGTTCTGGCTTTTGCTCTTTTAACCTCCTCTACCATAGACACTAGATTCATTTGTAGAGTTAGTCTCTTTGATGTTATCTTTCCACCTTATTCCTGGTCCGTCTTCTATTTTGATTAATGCCTTATATGATTTGTCATCACAGGCATCTCTAAGGGGGACAATATTGTTAAATTTAGTATTGGTTCTGTGCTGACTTTTGTTTTCTTATGAATTCATTCCTGATTTTATCTTTTCTGATCTATCCCACAACTTTTGTCAGACAACTCACTTCCATCATTACTAATTTTGGTCTCTGTATTGTTGAGACAGACCATGTCTGGCACTAGCAGTAACAGTAACTTTACCTAAATACTGTATTTCCGCAAGTATAAATAAGACTTACTTATTTGTAAAAAAAAATTAGGTCTAAAAATCAGAATGCATCTTATACTATGGTAGTAGCTTTTTACCAAATGAATTGTTAGAAGGCATCCCATACAGAGCCTTATTTGGGATTGCCAGGTCAAGGGTGACATAAAATGGGAGGAAAATTTTATATTTTATGCTTGTCTTTGCACTGATTGCTTCAACAGCTTGATGTGGGCATCACAAACCCTTTAAAGGTGCCATGAGAGATGATGGAACCAATGGATGAAGTCTTCTGCGGACAGTTTGATACCAGCAAGCAATGTGAAGAAGCCAGCATTAGATGTTTATACCTGGGTGAAAAAATCCTGGGATGATATGAAGATTGAAATCCTCTTCAAATTATTCCAGAAGTGTAACTGCACAGATAGAACTGAGGATGAGGCAGTATATCAGGGCAAGATTCATCATCAGACACAGACAAGGACACGCTAAAGAAAAGATCAAATGGACGAGAGTTTTGACTGATGAGTTTTCAGCATTCTATGATGCACGCAATATGAATTCCATAACTGCATGTAATCATTTTAAAAAATATATATTATGTTTCTGGTCCAAGAATCAATGTGCGTCTTAAACTTGGGGAAATATGGTAAATATCATAATTGTCAATGTCTGCTCTAGATCAGACACTTTAAGAATAATGAAAGGTATATATGAATTTCTTTTCTTGAATTAAACTGTGACAGTCTTTATTAGAGTACCCTTTTGTTTTCTTGTAACTGAATAAACTGATTTCTGTTTAGAGTCTGCCTGGGGTTGTTGCTTTCATTCAAGCCAGTGATATCCCTCAAGGAGGGGTCAACAACTGGAGACCTAAAGGCAATTCAGATACTGTTGAAGAGGTGATTCATCATATTTTAGAATCTTTCAAGTATGCATTGTACACAGTGGGGTGTTGAAAGCTGTGTAATGTTTTGTAACAATCGGGTTGAATATGAAGTGTTAAAAGCTGTGTAATGTTTTGTAACAATTGAGGGGTTGAATATAAAGTGTTAAAAGCTGTGTTTGCCAAAATTCTGGAACAACGAATTAGATCCGTTGTAGAACCGATCCTGAGCCCATCACAGGTCGGATTTAGGAAAGGAAGAGGGTGTACTGACGCTATTTTTGCTTTAAGACAAGTTAGCGAAAAGACAATAGAACACAGACATCAAATGAACATCGCTTTCATAGATCAAGAAAAAGCTTTTGATAGAGTAAACAGAAATTTATTATGGAAAGTTCTTGAAAAATACGGTATAAATGGAACAATTTTAGATTGTGTTAGGGCTATTTATAGACAAAGTGAAAGCGCCATTAGAACAAGAGCTGGCATCACAGACTGGTTCCCAGTAACATCAGGAGTAAGACAAGGTTGTGTATTATCACCTTTACTTTTCATAATATTTATGGACAATATTATTAAAATAGACATAACACCAACAGATGTCGATAAACAGGAGGACTTCAATGAGCTGCTCTTTGCCGACGATCAATGCATATTTCACAGTGATAGTAAACAGCTGCAAGACCACATAAACCTACTACACGACAGTTGCCTCAAGTATCATATGAAGATCAATATTGAAAAGACAGACGTCATGAGCATAAGTAGAGAGCAACAGACCATCGACATAAAGATTTTAGATCACAGCCTAAAACAAGTGCAAGAATTTAAATACTTGGGAAGTATCTTTACATTCAGTGGTAAAATAGACAGAGAGATCGAAGCAAGAATCCAACAAGCCAACAATGTCGCATACCAGCTTGCCCCAATTTTAAAACACCCTGCTGTCCCAGCTGAGATAAAAAGACAAATTACAAATACAATCTTTATACCAACATTAGGTTATCAATGTCAGACTTGGACATTAACAAAAGAAGACGAGAGAAGACTAACCACCTGCGAAATGAGATGTTTGAGAATGGCTGCGAATAAAACCAGAAGAGATCGAGTGAGAAACGATGTGATCACAAGAACTATTGGAACCATACCCATCGTTAAATTTATTGAGAAGCAAAGAATGAAATGGTTTGGTCACCTAATGAGAATGGAACCAACGATGCCAGCATCAAGAGCATACAACATGAAAATCGAAACACCAAGAGGCAGGGGAAGACCAAGAAGAAGATGAATTGAAGGAGTCACGGACAACTTGAGACTTCATAACATCACGGCATATGAAGCGACTGAGCGCGCCCTGGCTCGGTTGCCGATCATCTGATAGACTGCGACGCCTAGCGGCACAAGCAGATTTTGACAAAAGAAGAAAAGAAGAAGAAAAGCTGTGTAATGTTTTGTAACAATTGTGGGGTTAAATATGAATTGTTAAAAGCTGTGAAATGTTTTGTAACAATTGTGGGGTTGAATATGAAGTGTTAAAAGCTGTGTAATGTTTTGTAACACTTGTGGGGTTGAATATGAATTGTTAAAAGCTGTGTAATGTTTTGTAACAATTGTTTTATCATCCTTCAGGTAGACACAGTTTGTTGTGATGCTAATATAAATTCCTAAAAGTTGCTGAATTTATTAATTTAATAATTTTTTGTTTATTTGTTGAAATGACAGAGATTTTATTTATCTTTTCTTGCTAGAGTCATGTACCCAGACTATTGGCTTTATTGAGCTGACATAATTTTTTTTCTCTTCCAACTCCTGTTGTGCAGATGACTTGGACAGACATGTGTAAATTAAATATTGCAGACACAAACACTACATTACACAATTTATTGCCTGGCATATTTCACTTTATCTTATCAGGTGCATTACCACAGAGTTTCATCAACATATAACACAATCTGAAATCTTGCTGATGAAACACACAGATCACATTTTTTTTTTTAGCCTATACATCCCATAAAAGGGAGTTTAGGATAAATCACACGTTTGCCACAGCAGTCTCACATTTACCAAATGATCTTTTTGTTTACCCAGTGCAGGATTATCCATCTTAATTGCAACAGCTTCTGACCATTTCAGTTATCACCTATTAAGTGTGTGGTAGATATCTCAGAAGGCACTATGCCTCTTGTTTTCTTCTTAGTGTTAATTAAACAGCTGGAAAGTTCTGGTCGTTTGTCCACTTCTGGACTTTTGTCTTGTTTTAGAACTCGAGTATTTCATGTACATCAATTTCTGATTATGGCTTTTTCTATGCAGACTGTTGATTTCTTGCTTTTCAGGCAGATGCACTCTGACTTTGAAGAAAACACTGCTGATTAGTCGCCTGGTATGACATGCTTCTTAGAAGAGCTAATACCTTCTTTTCTTGTTTGTTTTTCCCCCAAAAAATGGGACCCTGGAACCGACATGGGGAGTACACCCCCTATCAGTTACCTTCTGAATGCCTTCACACTCCTGCTGTCTGCAGTCCCTATCAGTTAACTTCCGAATGCCTTCACACTTCTGCTGTCTGCAGTCCCTATCAGTTAACTTCCGAATGCCTTCACACTTCTGCTGTCTGCAGTCCCTATCAGTTAACTTCCGAATGCCTTCACACTCCTGCTGTCTGCAGTCCCTATCAGTTAACTTCCGAATGCCTTCACACTTCTGCTGTCTGCAGTCCCTATCAGTTAACTTCCGAATGCCTTCTCACTTCTGCTGTCTGCAGTCCCTATCAGTTAACTTCCGAATGCCTTCTCACTTCTGCTGTCTGCAGTCCCTATCAGTTACCTTCCGAATGCCTTCACACTTCTGCTGTCTGCAGTCCCTATCAGTTAACTTCCGAATGCCTTCACACTTCTGCTGTCTGCAGTCACTATCAGTTAACTTCCGAATGCCTTCACACTCCTGCTGTCTGCAGTCCCTATCAGTTAACTTCCGAATGCCTTCACACTTCTGCTGTCTGCAGTCCCTATCAGTTAACTTCCGAATGCCTTCACACTCCTGCTGTCTGCAGTCCCTATCAGTTAACTTCCGAATGCCTTCACACTTCTGCTGTCTGCAGTCCCTATCAGTTAACTTCCGAATGCCTTCACACTTCTGCTGTCTGCAGTCCCTATCAGTTAACTTCCGAATGCCTTCACACTTCTGCTGTCTGCAGTCCCTATCAGTTACCTTCTGAATGCCTTCACACTCCTGCTGTCTGCAGTCCCTATCAGTTACCTTCCGAATGCCTTCACACTTCTGCTGTCTGCAGACAGACTCAAATCAGAAATCTATTATTGCTTTTTTTCTCTGAAATAATAATCAGTTTTTACCACACCTCAGGCATGGTTACAAAGCAAAATTTATAAGTACTAATTAATGGTTTTTACTTGTTGCTACTCTTTTATATATTGTCTCGTCATTCACAATATACACAATGCTGATATGACCAGTCGTGTTATCTGACTTTGAAACTTGAAGCACAGTTAAAAGATATGAAACCCTATTACTTACAGTGCCGTTTACTTGGGAAAATACAGGATATCCAATTGTTCACATCTATACATTTTATTCCGCAGATTTGCTTAGGTGTGTAACGTTGTTCTCAGCAAACTATCAGATAATTTTTCTAAAGTTACTATTTATTTTTTATTGAAATAAACAGCACTGTAAGTTTGTAGATTTTCTTATGACAGAGAAAACCACTGTAATCACAGCACAGATCCATATTTTGAGAATGAGTATCCAAACTATCAGATAATTTTTCTAATTCTCCAAACACTTGAGACCATGGCTTCATTAGCAAAGTCACTCCTTTAGTCACATCAGCCGTCGTTTTTAGCCTGTTTTTGTTTTAAGGTAGTATAGGTGGCGAAGTTAGCCATGTACTACTGCTTGGCGAAGTCAGAAACACTTAAACAGTTCTCATGTTTACCTAACATTTCTCAGTTCGTTTTTATGGTCATATGCTAGGTTTCTTTACACCACTGTCACTCACACTTTTCACTTTATTGGGAGCCATAATGAGGCTTAGTTAATGCAGAAAGAATTGGGGGAAGGGGTGGAAAAACTTGTATCATGGACAACACAATGATAATGTGTGCAGCGCTCACACCTGAGTACAACAGATTCTGTTAATGAGCCAAAAATCGGGCACTAAACCCATGTTTGTTCGTTTGCAAGCCGCAAAATTGTTCACATGTTGGGTGAGTCAACATTTGTTGAGAAATTGTGTTCCTAACTAGAGGCATTTGTGACCCTGGATACCACTGTATATGGGACAGTCGCTTTCTGCCAAACTTATATTTTTCGCTGCTTTTAGGCTAATACGTTAATTCCTTGGTGTTGTTTGAATTTTTATGAGCCACTGTAAATCTTGGACCCTACTGGTCACTGGCATCATAAGAGCTAAAAGTCTGAAATGATGAGAGAGAAAATGGCAGATAAAGGAGTTACAAGAATTGTGTACACAAAGATTTGAATGGTCGTAGACCACGAGAGAGTTCAAAAAGACTTTGGAGAGATTATATCCAAGCTGACCTACTTGGAATCAACTGAAAAGAGAGGACCAATCACAGAGATGACTGGAAGCAGGTGATATCTGCAGCAGTGAACCTCAGGGGCTCAGAATGTTTACAAAGAAAAAAATCATTGTGCTTTCGCAACACATGTACAGATACTGCTTTAAATGTCTTGATCTTTTGTTTATTTGTTAGCAGATACTTTGGTTTAGTTTTACTTATAAGAAAACATTTTTAAAATTGCATATTGATTTTTAATCTCTAGCTTTTGAGCACAGGTACAATCCATTTTGCCGGTCAGCCAATTGGAATCATTGTCGCAGGTTTGTGCTGTCCATTAAATATTATTAAAAATCCTTTCCATCTGCTTTCTCTTCCTACTTTATTTTAAATCATACTTCTTCTGTGTTACTATTATTGGCATATCGTATTGTGGTTTACAGCCAGGTTACGATATCAGTGCCTTTTGGCGCAATAATTCATATTTCAGTAAACCCCTAATTGCTCACATTTTAATACACCACTCAAAGAGCAATGGGGTGTATTCTTGTTCCATCCAAAATGGGGTCATGTAGCTCACATGAAGATTAATCATATAAGCTATTACAATGAATTCTAGTGAATTTCTTTGATCTGCCACATGTATTACTTATATAAAACACAGGCTTGAGATGTTACAGTATTCAAGTTTTTAAATTTTTTTTTTTAATAATCAATTTATCTGTTTTGTGTGTTTTATTATGTTGCCTGTAACATGAGATGTAGACTCTAGTCTAAGAGGTAGGAGGCTGACCAAAGAAGACATGGGTGAAGGGAGTAAAGGAGACACTACTGGAGCTCAGTATGACATTAACACAAGCTACACAACTAGCAAAAAGACAGGAAACTACAGCTAACTGCTCTCTGCAGCACATTACGGCATAAGCATAAGCAGTAGGGGGGGGGGGGCACGCAAGCACGCACGCATGCACACACACACACACCACAAACAAGCATGCACACAAGCATGCACACAGACAGACAGACACAAAAAGAAGAAAAATTCTCTTGTATGACCACTAGACTGACAAGGAAGTCACTGAGAAACCACAGCTGCCCCATGTATTTGCAGATGCTGATACTTTTACTGTGCTGTACATTTGAAGATACAACATTGTCTTACAGACATTGAGACATTATATAGAAGCTATAATTTAAAGATACAACATTGTCTTACAGACATAGAAACATTATATAGAAGCTTTACATTTGAAGATACAACATTGTCTTACAGACATTGAGACATTATATAGAGGCTATACATTTGAAGATACAACATTGTCTTACAGATATAGAGACATTATATAGAGGCTATACATTTGAAGATACAACATTGTCTTACAGACATTGAGACAACAGCGCAGACGGCTGCTTCTCTGGTACAAGTGACTTACAAGAATATTCAACCCCCAATTGTGGATATTCAAGTTGCTATCAAGAACAAACGTTTCTTTCCGAACCCTCCACCCCCCTTTGTGACTGGGGATCCTACAGGTAAATATTGTGACCAGTTGAGATTATCCTTTCAGCCAGTGGGGCTGTTGCCATAGTGTAGTGGCTAGATATGTGTGTGCCGATCCAAAGATCGTTGGTTGAAATCCACATCCAGCCAGATTTTAATTTTTTAAAACTGATTCTGGCTGCCAGGTTGACCCAGCTTTTAATGGGTACCAGATAAAATTCGGAAAAGTAAAGGCGGCCAGTATGATACTTATAACACACCCACCATGTACTGATTGGTGTAAAAAAATATAGGTCTAGTACTATATGCTAGGAAGAATTTGGAAGCAACAGAGATGTGGTTTCTGAGACGAATGTTACGAATACATTAGAGGGCCAAAGTAACTAACAACAATTGCTTGAAAGAAGCTAATGAAAGTAGATCTCTACAATAAGAAAGAGACAAAAACTGTTCTTTGGCCACATAATGAGGAAAGAGACATCGTAGAACAGTGTGATAACAGGAAAGGTCAGTGGGAAATGGGGTCGAGCAGACCAAGAGAGATGATGCTGGATGGGCTGAAACGATGGCATGGAGGGATATCATCAAGAGAGCTGTTCCAGGCAACCAGGTATCGTGATCTGTGGAGACGCATGAGCGCCTACACCAGTTGGCAGGGCACATGATGATGATGACTATATGCTTGATACACCTAAAGATGTGGAAAATGGTCCTATACTTTACCGGGGCTGCTAAATAAAACTCTTCATAGCATAGGGTCTAGACGCTCACTTCTCGACCTTAAGGTTTTCAGGGTTTTTTTTTTGTTTGTTTTTTAAAGATGAAAGTTCTGTTTATTTTGTTTCATTGGGACCACAGTTTTTCATTCCATCCAACAGGAGGCAGTATCACAGTATCGGTGATCCCACTAAGTGTTTGAATAGTAGGTTGTGTTCATCTGTGTACAGGTTGATGAAAGTTGGAGTCCACTTGGGGATATCTGGGATCCACCTGGGGTAAATTTTTGGGGTCATAGACGGGCGGTGACATGGAAAATTCTGGAAGATCGGGTAGAATTCTACTAACAGTAGGAGCTGCAATCTTTGGCAGAGGAACGGTCCACATCGGCTGCTTGGGGTAGTCGCTCCAGTAAACCTGATTCCACCCATAATGCTCCGGATAGTCTAGTCTTTGGTCAAAACCCAGTGGGAATGTTGGTTTGTTAACATCCTGTGATGGCGGTTCGGTCCTCAGCCTGGCCAGTGTTAAGTGGGCCACTTCATTGTGGCTAAAAATGCTGGGCTGAACTCTGTGTCAGAAATCGAGAGAGTTGCTTGCGATAGAGTAAAGTGGAAGAATTGAATGTGAGCCCTATATGACGTCTAATAGCACACAAATATGTCCAGTGTGCCACTTGTGTGAAATGAGTTTTAACTCTTTTCAAAAAAGTTATCGTATTGATCATTGTCTGGAATTCCTTCTGGCCTCTTCTTGCTTTCACTGTAATGTGGTTGCTGCTGATTCTCATAGATGCTTCCTGCTGCCCATATAAATTTTTTTTTTTAATTCTAAAACCTTTGTTATCAATGTTTGTCATTTCAGGTAGCTTTGTAAAAGAAACAAAAATGGTAAAAGGCTCTTTTTACATCATTGGCCCAACAGGCATATGATGCCAGGCTTATATTTTGTAGACCAATCAGTACTGTGTGGGTGATGTGGTCTACACAGTGATGGCTGCCTTTACTTCCCAGGATGTTATCTACCACCCGCTCAAGGCTAAGTTGTCCTGGGGGAAAAATCTGACGATACAGATTTGAATTCAAGACATTCCTGCCAGCATTCAGCCATCTAGCAATGCTGCGGCAGTTACCAAGTGGCTTGTCATTTATGATATTTATGAGAATTGCTGTTTTCCAGCTTGCAGATGGCTCTTAATAAATTATATTTAATGTGAATTAATTGTTTTCCAGGTGCCAGTTGGCTATGCTATTTTATGTGAATCTGTTGTGTTATTTTGTTGTTTTTTTTTTTTTAGTTGTCAGATGGCTTGTAGCGTAGGATATTTGATGTGGATCTGTTGTTTTCCAGTTGTCAGATGGCTTGTAGCGTAGGATATTTTTGTGAATCTGTTGTTTTCCAGTTGTCAGATGGCTTGTAGTGTAGGATATTTTTGTGAATCTGTTGTTTTCCAGTTGTCAGATGGCTTGTAGCGTAGGATATTTGATGTGAATCTGTTGTTTTCCAGTTGTCAGATGGCTTGTAGCGTAGGATATTTGATGTGAATCTGTTGTTTTCCAGTTGTCAGATGGCTTGTAGTGTAGGATATTTGATGTGAATCTGTTGTTGTCCAGTTGTCAGATAGCTTGTAGCGTAGGATATTTGATGTGAATCTGTTGTTTTCCAGTTGTCAGATGGCTTGTAGCGTAGGATATTTGATGTGAATCTGTTGTTTTCCAGTTGTCAGATGGCTTGTAGCGTAGGATATTTGATGTGAATCTGTTGTTTTCCAGTTGTCAGATGGCTTGTAGTGTAGGATATTTGATGTGAATCTGTTGTTTTCCAGTTGTCAGATGGCTTGTAGCATAGGATATTTGATGTGAATCTGTTGTTTTCCAGTTGTCAGATGGCTTGTAGCGTAGAATATTTGATGTGAATCTGTTGTTTTCCAGTTGTCAGATAGCTTTTAGTGTAGGATATCTTTGTGAAATATTTTTTCCGGGTGCCAGGGGCCTATACTATATAATATTTCATTTGAATTTATTTTCCAGGTGCTATAGCTGCATCTCCTCATAAAATCAGCGGAAACATTGGCTGTGGCTCCCAGTACCATTTTCATTTGGAATCGCAGACAACAATATGTGCTCCAAATGGTGTTGGAGGCATGAATGTCAAGGCCACGACACAGTGGATTGATGGCGTGCTGGAAACTGTGTCTCAGGTGTTGGGTCTTCAACAGTCACAGTATGTATTAAACTCATTCAGTTCAGCACTAAATACAACTTATCGTGTGTTCCTTGCATAATATATTTTTCTGTGCTGTGTGTGCTTCACTGCGTTGTTACACTTTGTTATGTCCTTTTTTTTTTAATATAATAAATCTAACAACTTTGTGGTAAAGAGTTACCTTTCTGGCTTTTGACTTCCTATGTTGTTAGTTAGAGTGCAGTTTCTGAAAAAAAGAGGTGAAGGCCAACCTTCAAGGAGGTGAATGCAATACATTAAAAACGCATTGGCTTTGAAAGCACATGGGAGTCACCATGGCATAGCAGCTAGACACTCTTCTAGTGGTTTGGAAGGTCGTGGGTTTGCTCCCTGTCAGAGCCTGACTTTTTTTTTTTTCAAAAATTAAATTGACTTCCAGGTTGACCCAGCCTTTATTGGGTACAAGGTGCAGTCCAGGGAAGTAAAAGCGGCCTGCGTGATGCTGACCAAATCACCTATCCAGTGCCTGTTGGTCTATAAAAATATAGGTCTAGCCCTATATGCTCTATACGCTTAAAGGCGTGGAAAAGGTTTTTTGTTTGTTTTGTTTATTTGGATTAACTTTGAAAGCACAGAAAGAAGTTAATTAATTGGCTAGAGAAAAGGAGACTTGCCGTGTAGAGAGTGACAAGAGAGTGACAAGAGAATGACAATAATGACCTTCTATAATGGACCTGCTGATTAATGAATGATGATGTTTGTAGTTAGTCACTTCTGGAATGGCGGCCATGTTGCGGTTTGCCAATTAGCTTGCTGGTCCAGCATGTGATTTCCCATCAGACAAGAATGCGTTTGAAGGGATTATGAGATTCCTCTACATTTAATGGGTATCAGAAAATGTTACCTGAGGTTATCCCTGTCATCCTTTGAAAGCCTTTTTTCCTGGCATTTACTGTGTTTTGGTGACATGAAGTTCTTGGGTTCTGACCACTACACCGTTATAATAGCTTTGGTGCTGGTTGCAGCTGCTTAATTTGTTAACATTGTGGTTATTATTGTATTTACAAACAAAACATAAAAATGTTGACATTATTTTAGGTGAAATAATTGTCTTTTGATTAAATTTTTACAAATACTATGTGACATAATTATGTCATTATAATATCATTATGTCATTATAATATCATTATGTCATTATAATATCATTATGTCATTATAATATCATTATGTCATTATAATATCATTATGTCATTATAATATCATTATGTCATTATAATATCATTATGTCACTATAATATCATTATGTCATTATAATATCATTATGTCATTATAATATCATTGTCATTATAATATCATTATGTCATTATAATATCATTATGTCATTATAATATCATTATGTCACTATAATATCATTATGTCATTATAATATCATTATGTCATTATAATATCATTGTCATTATAATATCATTATGTCATTATAATATCATTATGTCATTATAATATCATTATGTCATTATAATATCATTATGTCATTATAATATCATTATGTCATTATAATATCATTATGTCATTATAATATCATTATGTCATTATAATATCATTATGTCATTATAATATCATTATGTCATTATAATATCATTATGTCACTATAATATCATTATGTCATTATAATATCATTATGTCATTATAATATCATTATGTCATTATAATATTATTATGTCATTATAATATCATTGTCATTATAATATCATTATGTCACTATAATATCATTATGTCATTATAATATCATTATGTCATTATAATATCATTGTCATTATAATATCATTATGTCATTATAATATCATTATGTCATTATAATATCATTATGTCATTATAATATCATTATGTCATTATAATATCATTATGTCATTATAATATCATTATGATGTAACTTTGCTCCACATAGCTCAAAGTAAAGTCAAGTCAAGGAGCCTTTCCACACCTTTAGGCATATTAGGCATATAGGGCTGGACCTGTCTTTTAAAGACCAAAAGCACTTGGTGGGTGATGTGGTCAGCATTACGCCGGCTACTTTTACTTCCCACGATTCCACCTGATACCTATTCAAGGCTAGGTCAACTGGAAGCCAAGGTCATTTTTTTAAAAAGTCCAGTACCATCAGACCCGAACCCACAGCCATGGCGGCTCCCCCCACGTAACTATGCAAACTAAAAATTAATCATGTTTAAAGGGTAGTAGTAGTAGTAGTAGTACATTTTACCCCACTAGGACATCACACAAGCGATAAACACCCGATGACACAAAGTGCCACCATGTGGATGAGGATCACCCGTGGAGAGGTCACGGAAACCGCGTTCAGCCATTCCACCATAATTATATTGGCTATATTGCAGCCCCTGGCAAGAGCCAGGGTGGGGCTTCAAAATAACGAAAAATTGCATCCCACAAAGGGGATGACTAGTATTGTGTAAAGGGAATTAAAGCAATCAATTCTTTCCCCATTTGTGCTTAATAAGTAATCCTTACTTTAAAAAGAAATTTTGCACACAAAAGTGAATAAAAGAAAATTATTTTACTGATTTGGTGGCCATGATATAGACGTCGCATCATAAAGGGAATGAAAACACAAAAAAGGTGGAAATGTATGATTCTTATATTGGAAGTTCTAGCAATGTCTACAGTGTCAGTAAATTGAAATATTATTTTCTTTTTGAAACACATCGTACATTTTTTTTTTTAACTGGAAATTTTCAGGGTGACAGTTGAAGTTGAAAGACTTGGAGGTGCTTTTGGGGGGAAGATAACTCAGAACTTTCTAGTATCTGGATTATGTGCTCTTGCTGCATATGTTGTTGGTCAGTAAGTATCCATGTGTTATTTACTGCACTTGTGAACTTTAGCTTCTGGATATTTTCATTCATGTGGGTGCGAACATGTCTTGGTAATATGGCTCACATTTAGTACAGTTGCCAAAGGCAGATACTGAAGTGAATCTTGTCAGAACTATTTTTTGGCCAACACTAGGCTTTCAGTGCCAGACTTGGACACTTACATCCTCCATTGAACATAAAATTGTGACCATAGAGAGGAAATGCCTTAAAAGAGCTGCAGGAGTTTCAAGGAAAGAAAGAATATGAAATTGCAAAATCAGACGAATGCTAGGAATAAAGCCAGTCTCACAGGTCATCAAAGAACAACAAATGAAGTGGTTTGGACACCTTACAAGAATGCCCTGGTACTATCTGCCACAGTGAGCCACACTAAAACGTTACAACAGGTTTAGAGAGAGTGGAAGACCTAGGAAAATATGGAGTGATGGCATTAAGAGCTCATCAACGAATGTTACATCTCCCCCCTGACACTTCAATGAGGTACAAGGTAGAAGAGAAGAAGAAGAAGTCAAAGGCAGATTATTTGTTCCTTTTAGCTCCATACTGACATCCTAGCACAAAGGTCTGACCCATTCGTGCCCAGTCCTTCACTGCAGCTGCCATTCCAGTGTCTCCGTGCTCAGTGTACCCAGCAGCAGTTGATTGGTGTGGCTTCTTTTTTTTTTTTTTTTGCCTGTTTTCCAATGGGCGGTTCATCGTCGCTGACCCTTTTGTCTCTGGAACGCAGTGTATTCAGTATGTCTGCCCTGTCCATACTTCAGAGGCTGCATGATCTCAAGGCATGGTATCCGCTTCAAATCCTAGAGGTACCGGGTAGAAGCCTTGGTGAAGGCTGGGATTTTTTCACGTGGACTTCTAGTAATTTTCTCCTGCTGTTCTCTTAGTAGTAAAATCGGACACCCATGTATTTTGTTGCACACGTAAAAAAATCCCTTGGCAGTTGGAAATCAAAAAGAGTAGCCTAACGGCTCTGCACGGGCAAAATTTGGAGTTAAAAATCTACCCAAAGTAGTTCAGGATCCTCCCCAGTGCAACGGAATTTGTGCACTGTGCTGAGATTCTCCAGACTCAGGCTTGAGTTAAAAGAAGAATGAAGCACTTATGAGTTACACCCGTGTGCCATGATGTTGATCCGTTAAATAAACAAACAAACAACCATACTTCTTGATCCACCAACTAATACAGACACGGCCAGTCTATCAGCTCTTTCATTTCCTTTCTCTCCTAGGTTTCCTTTTTGTGTACAGCCAAGATCGTTTCTTGAGGTCTGACTTCTGGACTATGTGAACACATTCTTGTCAGAGTTTGCCAGTTTGGATATTCTTAAGCATGCTCATTGTGTCTGTCACTATCAGTGCTTGAGTTGCTTTCCTGTTCTGCCAGCCGTGCAGATGCCCCTGTGACACTACAGTTTCCATTGTCGTACTAGAAGTACTTGACCAAAACAGATTATAACAACACTAACTCTTTCAGTAATATGCAGTGGAGATATTTAATTTGGTTAGCCCTAAGACTGTATGTATACTTTTCTGACTCTTCTATTGCAGAAGGCTGCAATGAACATAATGAAGGAGAGTGGTATTTAAACAAATTCCCACAATCATTCTAGCACAATGTAATAGACAATATTCAGTAGTTGGGTTTTCAACCTCACTGCCGATGTGTCACCTCATAAATGCTCCAATCCTGTGGCTGAAAGAGTCTCACATTAACTCATTCTATCGGAACAATTATTTTAGCCCCCTTTGCTCAGTAATAGTAACTTAAACTTGTCATAACGCATGGCACAGCACCTGCAAGTGAGTAAGTAAAAATTTAGGTCCTGCATTTTTCCCATGGCCACTTATGGATGTTAGTCAAGTCATGGACTCTTACTCAACATTTAAAGAAACAAATCAGAGCTTTTGAACTGAAATGCTACAGAAGAAGTTCTTAGAATACCATGGACCAAGAAGAAGGGAAAACACTGGCCTCCTACTTGATCTGAGCATCCTGGAGAATTGGCTCATAAATAGTATCCTGTCCTGAAAACAGGTATTTTGGCCATTTTAAGTGCCATGGTGGTCAAGAGATAATGGTGATGGAGGATGCAGTTTTGGGAAAATGGGGCTGAGCCGACCAGAGATCGTGTTGTAGATTCAAGGAAATACCACTTGGTCCAGCAACTTGGACTTTCCACCGGACTTTACAACCAGCAGATGCAGATGCAGAAGAAACAGAAGTGCTGCTGCAATGTCTAGATATGAAGACTCAACGAAGACCTATTATCAGGGTACTGCTACACACAGTTACAGTCCGTTAAACCCCTTAGTACTTCTATCATGAAAGGACATCTTTATCAGAAAAGATACAGGGATGCATTTCCTCCTGTCCTGTGCACTAAACCTAGGTAGTATTGCAGAGATCATGTGTTGCCCACGCGGCATGATCCCTCACTTCCAAAGGAAAGGTAACACCAAAAACAATTAGACACAAGTATGCTGCAGAAGCTGCTGGATCAGAAGAGCTGGACTCTATCGACATGTAGAAGCTTTCCTCCTAGACCAACTGCTAACTAAGGCTAAGGCACTGTTCTGCCATACTATCACATTTAATTTCAGCATCCTAGGATAAGGGGGGTATCCTCCCCAGTGCAGCCCTCTGCCTGAAGCTGTTGGCACAAGTGGGATGTCAGGATTGTTATATGCTGCCCAACATTCATTGTTAATAGAGAACAGATAGTGTGATGACCCTGCTTTGCACGGCCTCCACGCTCACAGAGAGCCAAGCGGAAAATCCTGCGACAAACAACCGCACGAGAGTCTTGGGGCCAGTTGAGTAGACGTGGGCAGGCCCGAGCTAGACTCGTGGTCAGTTGGTTACCAGAAGTCGTAGAAGACAGTTGTATTAACAGAAGATGTAGTTCTTATGACCAGTGTTTGAATATGTCGTAAGCGATGGAAGTGTGAATAATCGTTGGAGCATGTTGAATAAATGCAACGGAATAAACTGACAGCATGTGCAAGGAAGCTGAGCGGCGTTTGTGTTATCAGTCCTAGACGTTAGAGCAGTGCGAGAAGATATGTTGTAATCATATAAAGCTGAATTGTGGCGAAAGCAGATAAGTTGCAAGCCAAGGTACATCGCAGATAGATTTCTCAGAAACTAAGAAACAGCGAAGTGCAGCTACACATAATTGAAATTGAGATTCTTTGCTTTTGCTTATTTGGTTGTTATTAATTCACCAGGCCTGTGAAGCTACACCTTGATATTCATACAAACATGAAGATGCTTGGAAAGAGGTGCCCTTATTATGCAGAATACCAGGTTTGTCTAGTTCACTCACTTGATTCTTCTTCTTCTTCTTTCTGTTACTGGCTGTATTGTCCGGTGGAAAGTTCTGTTCTTCATCCACTTATAGACTTTAGTCCGGTTCCAAAAATTAAGTTCTGCATGTGCATCCATTTACAGATCGACCTGGCTTTTTTTAATGTAGACTGTTGGTTTCTTGCCTGTCAGGCAGACCGATGCACCCTGACTTTGAAGGAATCTCACTGGATTAATTGGAAGACTACCCCCGGTCAAGTGGTTAAGCTGTTTACCTCCGACTTGTAAGATTGTGAATTTGTTTCATACTCCATTATTTGGTTCACAAGTGCGGATGTTTCAGAGATCTCTTAGGGTTATCACTGGAGCTATGCAGTTTGTGCTTTGTGTGATGCTGCCAGTGAATGACCAGCCACTCTCCTGAGAGAAACTGAGCCATATTTGATTAAATTTAGAGCATTGAAGTCAGTTTTTTTGTATTTAAAAAAATCTTTTAAATATAGTGTTCTATCCCTTATTAAATGTCACCCTGATTTAGTTTTCATTGCATGCATTGTTTGCTAACAAAAGCAGTATTAGGGAAAAAAAAGTCTGCAGAAAATAATTATAAAGAAACATGAGTAATATGGAAAATGATATTGAGGGGAAAATAAGATTCAGCAAAGAATGGAGGACTTGGTATGTGATGTTTGACAATTGTGCTACCCTAGAGTTGTACTGTCACTGTCAATACTGTCTGTATTTACAGCATTTTAGGGCAGTGTAGACGGAGGGGAAGCTGTGAGCCCGAGGATTTAGGGTCCCATACCCTGTGATTTGCCACGGACTGTGCAGGTTGTTTAATTTTTCCCTCAACAGAAGAACTACAATCACCTTACAATGGGTTAAGCTCAGGTCACCCTCCTGAGAGTCCAATGTTGACAACGCTCGGCCAGAGAGTTGTAGTGCTTGAATCAAAGTAACCTGTCACTGCTGGCAATGAAACCTGAACCAGTGTTTTGGTAGATGAGTGCTCTAAACTCTGTGTCAGTGATGCTTCTACGAATTAGCTTTGTTGAACAACAGACTCATGAAAAATAATCTGTAAGAAAGCTACCTGTCATGGACTTACAGTTCTTGTGTATTACTGGACAACAGCAAAGTAGATTTGACATGAGTTAAATGCCCCCAACAAGTTTAATCTAGCCTTCCAGGTCACCACCCAGTATTTTGTCATGAGTTAATTGGTAAATACCCCATGCCTTCTGACATGCCTGTCCCAACCCACTCGGTGGATAATGTGTGTTGACCCAATTATACTGCCAGTCTCCCGGTCTGCCTTAACCTTTCTCACAACTAAAACTAGTTATGGAACTATTTGTCTGCTAGATTAAATCATGGACACTAGGACTGGAATGGGTAGCGCTTATCACCCCAGCCTGTTAAGGGAATGGTTGATTTAGGCGGGCCTGAGTAATTTGACACCAAGAAAAGTATCGCTCTGTAATGTCTCATAGCAACGTTGGCCCTCCTCCGCAGCAGGGGGGTAAAAAAAAAAAATATATATATATATATATATACTTAGCGTCACTCTTAAAGACAGTAGAGCGAAGATTCCTACTCCCATGTTGTGCTTCGTCCCATCGGAATAGGAGCAATAACACAAAGAATCTCCAACTTCTA